CTGTGACCTAGTAACTGAATGAGTGAGTGCAATTTAAAGCCAACAGTGTTTCTGCCTCACGAGGTCATTGCCTTGGAAGGAGAGCAGGCAGACGAGGGGCTCGGAGCTCGTACGGAGGCCCGTGTGCGATTGCTTCCTGCGCCTTTGACCTTCCCTGTGAAGCGCGACCTCTGGTGCTTGTTGAGCACAGACGGCTGTGAAAGGACATCCTTCCAGCGCCCTCCCAGAGGAAGGGGGATTGGACGGCGCTCAAGCCCACCACTCGCAGGACCTTGTGAGCATGCTCTGGGTGACGAGGCAGCAGCAGGGATTTCAAAGCGGCCCTGGGGGACGGCTGGGCCCCCTTCGGCTGGCTGCTGGGGCAGAAAAAGTCTAATGGGAGTAATTGATTTATTGAGCATCACCCGAATGTGAAAGAAGACAGGACAACGGAGCAGACACTCCTCCCTCAAGCTCTTTCCCCACCCCACACAAACGTGTTCGTGCACACACATGCATACACACATGCACACACATGCACACGCACACACACCCACTCACCATGTCCTCAGGAAGTAGGTCATGTGGTCAGCACAGCTATCAGATGGAAAACTGCTTCAGGAGAAGTTAACACAGTAAAAAACCCAGGTGACGTACCCCAGGCTAACAGGAATTTGGAGACAACACAGGTGTCATCAAATATTCTCAGTGGGGCAGACAGGGAGGAGGGGGCAAGGCCAGGTGGGGAAACTGCAGGCAATCCTGGCTCAGAGGGAGGCAGAGCTCGGGTCCCTGCACGATGAATGAGGGAGGGCCCCCCAGGATGCTGGGACACAGGCTGGACGCAGGCTCAGCTCTGACTCCCCCAACACTCAAATGCCATCACCCACCCTCCGAAATCCCACCAGCATTGCCCCTTCTCCATCCCCGCGGGCTGGCCCCGGCAGCCTCCCTTCTCCCTCCCAGAGACCGAGCCTCACCTGGGCCCTGGCTCTGCTGTGGCCCATCCCCTCCCTCCCCACCTGCCACTCTCTCACCACAGTTCCCAGGATGGTCAGGTCACTGCTGCTCAAGCCCCTTCAATGGCGCCCGTGGCTGCTGCAGGGGCCTTGCAGGGCCCTAAAGGACAGGCCCAGCTCCACCCTAGCACTTACTATGGTGACACGACCATCTGTTTACTTCCCCATCTGCCCCTAGAGGCCAGGGGCCAGCAAAAGTTTTCTGGAAAGGGCCAGGTAGGAAAGACCTCAGGCCTCGTGGGGTGTCTTCACAGCAGTGATTTAGCTCTGCCTTTATAGCACAAAAAGCATCCAGAGACAACATGCCAGTGACAGGCATGGCCATGTTGCTGCACAGCTTGGTGTACAGCGGCAGGCCTGTCACCCCCCTGGGTACCCCAGGTCTGCAGCCTGTCCCCCCCAACGCCTCCTTGCAGGAACAAAGACCTGCTGCCTGGAGTCACTCTGCCACCTGGAGGCCACCTCAGGAATTGCAGCCCACAGGGCCAGTCCCACCTGAGCACCTGCGGGCTGGGTCTCACCTCCGCCCCTCTGAAGCCCTCCTGGCTGCTCAAGGAGCTCCGAGACGCTCTGTTTCGTAAGGGCCATCTGGGACGCCCTCTTCCCACGAGTGGCCAGGTCCTGCCCCTTCGCTGCCTCTGGGTCTCAGCCTACCCTAAAGGAGTCCGTCCTGCTCCCCGAACAGCCTTCCTCCTTTCTCCACCCGCTGTCTCCGCCTGTCACAGCAGCAGCTCTGTGCATTGACTGTGCTGTCCCCCACTGGATAGCGGCTTCCTGAGGGCTCTCCGCCTTGTTCCCTGCACTTACCCACGGCTGGAACAGCACCAGCCCACGGAAGACTCAGCAAATGTCCGATGAATGAATGAGCAACACCAAGTACACACCAATCCGCGAGGGAGAGGAGAGGAGGGGAGGGGAGGGGAGAAGGTGGCTTCAGACGCTGCCTCCTGCGTGTGCCCCGAGTGTGGGAGTGTGGACAGTGCCTGCCCCGTGGAGTCCATGGGGGGAGTAGCCCCAGGAGGCCCAGGGCTCGGGTCAAGCAGCTGTGGTGTCCGGGAGAGGGAGACCAGCGGGCCGAGGGCTCTGTAAGTCTCGCACAGTCCGGGGCTCGGAAAGAGCAGTGCGGGCCCCAGCTGTGGGGTCCACACTGGCAAGAGCAGAACAGGGGTGGGTCCGAAGCACCTCTACAGATCAAGGTGGGCTTTCAGTTCGCAGGAAGCTCAAAGGGGCCAGCATCCGGGGAGAGAAGGACAAGGCCTTCAGGGGGTCGGTCTAGGAGAGGCGTGATGAGACTGCCCAGAGCCCAGAGGCCTGGGACTTAGAGGCTCCCAAGGGTGACTCAGGACAGGGGAGCCCCGCCTTGCCCGGTTCCCCTGGGCGAGAGTGACACTGAGGCCTGGCTCTGCTCTTAGACTCCAGGAGGGGGCTGCCCTTCCTCTTCCAATCTGTGCCCGCAGCTGTCCCCGCAGCATCTGAGCCCCGGGTGATCTGGGGACACCACTCTGGCAGGAAGCGCTGCAGGGAGGGGCCGCCCGTTCACGCACAAGCAAAGACCTATAAGCCTGGAACTAAAGATAGAAGATGCCCCTTACCGGGCCGGTTCTGATGTAAAAGTGCGGAACTCGGAATTGAACAGGCACTTCTCGTGGCAGGTCCACGGTGCCCCATGGGGCTATTCCGGGCCAGGGCACTAGGAGGCTTTGTGAGTTTGTATTGCTCAAGACAATGAATAATACATGAGTGTGCAGTCTCAGTCGGAATGACGACTCACAATCACACCGAAGCCTTCACTCCAATCCGATCCATATTCTAATGTGACCCTCCTACACTTGGAAGCTGGGGCTTGGTGGCCAGGTAGCCCCTATCTCTTGGTGGTTAAAGTTTGGGCCTTCTAGGGAAACGCTTCTCCAAGTGTGGAACGTGGGCCACTGCCGGTCTGCAAACTGCTCGTTACTGGCCCGTGAAGAGATAAGTACAGAAACGGAGGAAAAAAAACGCTTAGAAACCTTTATAGCCACTTAACAAAGTGATTTTATGTGAGTTGACTCTAATAACAAAAGTTTGGGATTGCATTTTAGACGTTCATTTTTTATTCCATTTTTCAAGTAATTCAATTTTATGTTTCAGGAAAGTATTGGTTTGCTCTAAGTTAGCCCAGGCACTGTGCCAGGCTCAACCGTGGGACCCTTCGGCTCATCGCCACAGGTCACTCCGGGAGCCACAGCGCCGCCCTGGAGTTTGCAGATCCAGTGACCGAATCCGGAGACCCAAGTTCAAGGCCTGACCTTGCCGCCACGTAGCTGGGTGGCCTTGAGTCACTGCCCTCTTCAGGTTTCTGGTTTCTCATTTGTGAAATGAAAGGGTTGGACCAGATCTTTCCTGGGGGCCCTTCGAGTTCTCCCGTTCTTTGACTCCGGCCTGGATCTGGTAACCACTGAGATGCCCTTTTTAAAACTACAGAATCGAGGCCAGAGTTCTAGACACGTTCCCACAGAGCATTGGGGACAATGTCTTCATCCGGAGCAAAAAAGAGTCGCTGACGTCCAACATTCACATTTTGTTACAACTCTATTAAGGTTTAATTTAATACAACAAACTGAGCATATCTGAAGCGTGTAACGTGGTAAGTTTTGACACACGCATTCACCCATGAAGCCATGGTCTCGACCGAAACACTGAACCTTTCTATTGCCCCCCCCCGAGGTCCCTCACACCCCTTCGAGACTGTTCCTCTTCCACCGTCCCTACCTACTATCCAGGTCTCTCCTCTCGTTTATCCTTGAGCCGCATTCGTGATGCTCGTCTCGCGCTCAGAAAGGCTCGCTTCTCCTTTCGGCTGCCCTCCCCCGCGGCTCAGCCCCCAGGCACCTGCTGTGCTCCGCCAGCCCGCGGCGTGGCCCCTCCGCACCAGGCAGGACGCCCGGGCGCTCCACACCCTCCAGCTTGCAACCGGACGGGTGGACTGTGGCGTGTGCCCGTTTGCAAAAGCCCTTGAGAACGGACTCCTGCCTTCTGCTCATTTAGAATGTGACCCGCCGTGTGCCTCTTTCCCCTAGACTTGGGTTCCCTGGGCCCCAGCAATTCCCGAAATGCAAAGCTTTCAATGGAAGCTCAGGCTCTTCCGCATGCCCTACAGCACGGCTGACTCTCCTCCAGAAAGAGATCGTGAGAAAATAAAAAGCGTCCTCGTTCTCCTTTTCCCCACTCTAACCCTGCTCCTCCAGTGGTCCTGAAGCAGCATCTCTAGAAGTCATGTTTGCAGAAGCCGCCTGCAGCGGCTGCATGAGCCAGGCAGGCCCAGCGGGGGTCAGCCAGAGTGCCACCATCTAAGGACATCTCCAGCGTCCATGCCCTTTTCTGTCTGGGGGCCCCACCCTTTCCCCCACCGTCAGTGCACACGGCTGGGTGGCTGGCCCTTTGCCGGGTGGGTGTGGGACTGGCCTGGCTGGGAGAGCATCGCTTTTGGCTGCAGTGACTGGAGCAGCCATGGGCCGTGGGCTTCACGGTCGTGAGACAAGACCGCAGACTCTCGCGGGAGTTACCAGCAGTAAGCTCTGTTCTTCCACTGCAACTGCTGAGCTGCTGGGACCCATGTGGGAGGTGATGGTGCTCATCACGGCCACCGCTTAGAAGCCCTTCTCAGGGGTGATGGCCACAGACAACAGTCCCTGTCGCCATCTTTTCAGCCCCTAGATCCAGCCATGCCTGAAGTCATCAGACCACCCCTGGATTTTTCAGGTTTTTTTTTTTTCTGTTATGTATATCTATAAACATCTCTTTTTGGTTTAAGCCGGGTTGAGTTAGGTAACTGTCACCTGGAATGAAAAGAGTCCTGACTAATCCATGAACGCAAAGCCCAGTCCCCAAACCAGGGCCCCAGGCTGGCTTTCTGGTCCTTCTGTTCCGAGCCTCCATTCCCAGCCCAGCTCTGCTCCGCAACCAGCGGCTCTGTGGGAGGCGCATTCTCATACCTCCTCCTAGGGCGAAAAAACAGCATCTGTTTTATTTTTGGTAGAAAACAGCTCTGAACAACATGTAGGACGGGAGGCAGAGCCAGAGCCAGAACCGGGGGCTGCCTGGCTCTGGGGGTCCCGAGGCTCTGGGGCTGGTTGCTTTCTGCTTCGGGCTCCTCATGTCCTGGGGCTCCAAGGGCCTTCCCTCAATCTGGGCCACCTCGTTGATCCAGAGGGTGTAGGTGGCCACAGCGGTGTATATCCCCGAGGTCCCCTTCTGGCCACAGCCCCTGCCCCAGCTGATAATGCCGACCTGGTACCACTTCCCACCAGGCTCCGGGGTGCAGACCAGAGGCCCCCCACTGTCACCCTGTGGGCAGAGAGCACAGTCAGTAGCGGGCCCACGCTAGACGCCCACGAGGGGCAGGGCACAGCGAGCTCACGGAGGGGGATCGCTCGGCCCGTCCTGCTCCGGGCGGCCAGAGGACATCTCGCCAAAGCCCGCCACTGCCCACCCCGTCCCGAGGGGCTGCTGTTGGGCTGGCTCTGGGCATCACGGGGTGTTGAGCAGAACAGGGGTGTACAGGACGGGACCTAATCTGGAGGAGGCAGAGGGAGGATGGGTGAGAAACTATCACTCCATCTGCTGCACAGGGAGACAGGAGCCCAGGGCAGAGTGACCGTCACACAGGCTGAGGGAAGAGTGCAGACGAGTGCCGTGGGTCTTGTCAAATCAGAAGCTCTGGAAAGGGCTGGAAAGGGCGGGAGAGAAAACGGGACGCCAGAAGTGCTGTTAGGGTTGTGAATCTGGTCTCCTCTGATGTTCTTCCCGAGGCGTGGGGGGAATGACGTTCCTTTTTAGTTCTTTGCTGTGGGTGTTTGCTAAGGGCAAGCGAGCTGAGCTTTTCGGGATGTGTAACCCTTCAGGATGGAATCGCGTGGGTCTGACTCACGCAGTGATCCCATGACACGGAGCACGTGTACCCAGTCCCTGCCGTGCACCACAGACACGTGTGGCTTCCTTCCACCCATCTGTAAGGCAGATGCACCTCCAGGGAGATAAAAAGCTCGCTGAAGGTTTTAAGTCGCCCGGCCAGGGCTGGAACCCAGCATTTTCTTTTCTTTCTTTCTTTCTTTTTTTTTATTTCAGCATGTTATGGGGGTACAGATGATTAGGTTACATATGATGCCCTTGCCCTCCCTCCCCCCCAAGTCC